AATGCGTCATTGAAGCAACCAATCAGCGCTATTCCGAATAGCGCTGAATAGCGCTGATTGGTTGCTTCAATGACGCATTCTCTATTCCGCAGTCTTTTTCCGCACCGTGTGATTTCACCCTAACCAACGTGCTTGATAGAGTGAGTAGGAGCTATGGTAGGAGCATTTTGGAGCATGTTGGAGCTTGCGACGCGAACAAACTCTAGTAACTTCAGTTTGGGCAGTTGAGTATTGCGTATTGCTATTATGTGGTCAGTGGTTTATGTGAATGCGCCATAGTATCCATTTGTTCCGTTTATCGGGCACCCTGCGTTGCGATTTGGAAAAAGAATCTTTAGGAATCTTCTTCTATATATATTACATAATTCCACATAATCGCCACATATTATAAATTTAGTGAGTAATTTAAAATTGTGTTAAACTTAAAGTTAAAAAAGCATCAAGTGTACACTAACCATTTCCTTTTGTAATATTTAATTGTTAGCGACAATTTTTATAAGCAATTTTTAAATGACATGTCATTTTCTTCGAAGATCAGAATTGTGATTAGTCAGTATATAAATTGTTCTATTCCAAACTTATTTTATTCGCACTAATGATATGAATCATGTGTAATTTCTATTCATATCTGATTTGAAAAAATTAATAACGAAAAGAAACCTTTCTATAATTTTATAGGTTATCTGTGCAAAATAACCTGTGCTTAGACACCTGATGGTGTACTGCCTCTTGCAATTGTGCTGAGATTTTTCATACAAATCTGTTGTATTACTATTGTCATTTACGTAAATAAATTGATTGTGATTAATTCGTTTATTATAGACAACCAACATGTCGCAAGGTACACATCGGTCTATGAAGTATCCATATACCTTAACCGCGAAGATTGCTCAGTTTCCATTTAAATATTACGTAAAGAATAGTTGGCTGTTTAAATATTTCTTGTTAAGCACATTTATAACTCTGCCCATATTCTATAAAATTCAAAAATTATGTAAGTAACAGTTTGTCTCAATATTTGATTTATAATATAGATATATCACCTATTGCGTTCTTATTTCCAGCATATTCTCCCGGGAATGTTGCGAAATGGGACAAAATCCATCACGAAATGTTCTACGGTACTCCAGGCGGCCATCACTGAAGTAGAAATATAATCACTAGAGTCAAAAATGAATGTGTAAGAAAAAAAACAACATAGTCTTTTCTCTGTCTAATTAGAGCAAATAAATCTGTAATTGCATGTAAAATAAATTATGGAGAGGAATAAGAGAATTGTAAAAAAAGATTATTTGAAAGTTTGATTATTAAAATAATCATATAAAATATACATGACTAAAAAGAACGCATTTTTGTAATTACACTACATAAGAAATTTTGACCATAGTCATACAAATCTATCCTAAAAATTGAAAACTGTTAAAAATAAACTAAATTAAAAAAATAAGTATTGTAAAAAACAAATTTACACGAACGTTACAGAATATTAATGATAACACTTCAATTGATAACAATCACAGAACACGCAGTACAAAAGTATCCAATTTTATTGTCTGAATCTACAAACATAAATTTTTATAAATGACATTTCCAAAACTTTTTTTTGAAAGCTGTGCTTGTGTTCTATTATTAAAGCTCGCATACAGACGATCTCGAGAAAAGCAAAACTTATAGTGTGACTTACCATGTATACATTTATGTGATTCTTAATAACTACGGCAATGAGTATATATAAATTGCCGCTTTATATGATTAATACTAAAATAATAAATAAAATTGATCGATGCGAGAATGTATCGAGCATCTCTTTCTGTTTACATCTATAGAGAAAATAATGTAATTCTTGTACTGATTGAAGCAAATGGAAACTAATGAGCTGTATTAATAATAGAAATTTGAAAGCCTATACCGGTCGAAGCTAGATCTTTAACGCTTTTTTTTAAATAATTCAATGTGAATTATTCGATAGTCTAACTGGTAAGGACACTCACATGGAATGTAAGAGATCCGGGTTCGACTCCCGGCCGAGGTAATATTTTTCGCAATAAATTTATTTAGTTTTACAGCACATTAACATCTTGTTAATATGATGCCTGATTGTGCATCAAAATTATTTAAGAATTGCTTGTCAATTTAATTTAATTCGTGATATATTCCAGTAGTTTAATTGCGTTTATAAGTCCGGAAAACTAATTCGGCGCGCAGTTTGAAGGACTACAAATATATTATATATGCAAGTACATATATAGTATATATATAATTCACATTGAATTATTTAAAAAAAGCGTTAAAGATCTAGCTTCGACCAGTATAGGCTTTCAAATTTCTATTATTAATTGTGTTTCTCATATGGTACGGTCTAAAAATAAGATTGTTATTGTTTAAATTAGTAATGAGCTGTATGTCATCATTTTGAAATGTTCTGTGAGTGCGCGATACATCTAAAAGTATATGTATGTGCGGCTACATGTATTCCTGCAAATAATACTGTGTGTACGTCTTTATTACAAGCCTCAAAGAAATCGACCGTAGAAAAAAAACAATTTTTTTCGTACATTTGCATCAGTGATTATGTAAAATAAACTCTTATAATTCATCATAATTGTACTATTCCGTCAATTTTTTTTGTCGGTATAATTTTATATTACTCTGTTGAAAGGATCGAAGTATATAATTTACAAGCTACATACAGAATCTTTCAACCGCTCAATATCGGTATACAAGTCCACATATATGTTGAGTTCAAAATATATAAAATATGAGCGGCTCTAGATTTAAATTTCATGAGTATGCATCGTAATGAAATATAATGTATATGTATTTAATCTTCTTTATTCTTCTATCTTTTCTTCTGCACTTCTCTTTCGTCATCATCGCTTTCCGACGCACCATTTTCTTCGACATCGCTGCTCAATCTTGGCCTCTTAATCTTTCTAGTTTCTTCTTGGAAAAATCCGTCATCGAAATTCAAGCCTAATTCTTTGCAGCGTTTCTCGAAGTACTTGCGTAATCGCATCCCTGCACTATATACGTAACTATTTTTAACAAGACATAGCCTTGCTTCTTACATGCGCATTTCTAAATTGGTTCGGAGGCAAAAGATTACTTACATCAACAACAGCAAAACCTTACTTGTACTAAAGTTACAGATGAATTAATACGGTCGCAAATTTTATAAGATGTAAAAATCGAATTCATTCATTAAGAATAATCTCAAAATAGTTAATTCATTTATCTATAATTTGTAGATTACTTTTTTTATGTTACGATAGTTATTTTATCGAATTACAACCCTAATTTTATTAATATTTGTTATATTTTGTTATATTTATGATATTCTACAGACCTAATCCGAATCACACCTAATAATTCTATTAAGAATTTACTTACACATACATCAAGTCGAAATTATACATATATAAAAAGTAACAGAGATATCAATTTATTATTTTGTTATTAGTAATAATTATATGATATTAATTATATTTAATGTGTTATCGTTAAAAATGTAGAAATACATAAAGTAATACTAATTAGCATTGTAATCTCTGGCATCCGAACTTACGTAAAATAAATAACGATAACATTGATACCTACTTGTAGACAGTACTATGTTCTTTGTTGTACAATCCACAGTTTTCAAAAACCAACTGGCAATCGCTAAAGAACTTATCTAGTGACTCGTAGTCGCCGTTTCCGAGTTTGTACTTGATAGTTCCAAAATCCATTGGATTGGAGATGATATCGTGATAGTCTGGAACCTCGTCCTTTCTAACAGGTGATAAAAATGGCCACGAATCTCTGTGATGCCAGATTTCGGCCAATAATTCTTGCAATCTACTCATAGATCCCTTAATGGAATTCTTATCTCCTTGTTCAATCTCGGCGGCTCTTTTAGTCGCACGCCGTGTTTGTCTCGGTTCAGTGTCATCCGATGTACTGCTATCTGTACATTAAAAATTTTTATATTAGCATATCACGTTTTTGTCATTTCAATTCGAAATTATTTACTAATTACTTGAAGGCTACATTAAAAACTAAAGTTCTAGTTCTATCGATGATATTTATGTGATATATATATATGGATTAGCAATAGCTTACGAATCTCACTACCAAGATGATATAATATATCAGGCATTTACATGATGGAAGTCAAGCATTATATAATGCTATGTTAGGATCTGTCCCCTAATAAATCTTAAGAATTTGTCTAATGTCTCGTAGTCGCCGTTTGTACTTGAGATAGTTCCAAAGTCCATAAATTTTACTCAAAAGTCGGAACAAGAATTATATGTATATGTGCATGTGTGCATATATTGTGCCATGTTATTTAAAATTAAAATATTCAATTTTATATAAAAATAATATTATATGCCAAATGTATAAGACTTATACATTTTATCGATAAATAAGTCGACATTGTAAAATTAGTCCAAATTTATATTAATGTAAATATCTAGAGTATTTATACATTTATCAAATTTATTAATAAATTCAGTAAGAATAGTGATGTCAGACTCCAAGGAATAATAATTATATTAATTTGATTTTCCTGATGTCCAGATATATTAATGAAAGAGAAATAATTTTAGAAACATAAGTAGCAATACATAACTTGATATAAACATTCAAAAAAATAATTAAAAATAAAATGTGGAAGATTTATAGTAAATAATTTATAGTAAATTCATTATTTAATTAAGTTCGTATATAATCTCAAAATAAAAATTATAGAAACTGTTCAATATGTTAATGATGAATAATTGGTCTCTTTTAATGTGCGGTGCTTTTCAAAAAAGAAAAAAATTGGCCATGAAGATGCTACACATATATACATATATATAAACACAAAACAAAAAGAATACAATACAGACCGTCCCAGTCTGTAGATTCAGTAGTGAGGAGGCTCTTAGCAAAGCCATGGATGCGAGAGCGTGCTGCTGCTGCGCACAGCCTCTCCTTGTTTCTTTCTCTTTCACACCCCCTCACTATCAACATAATTTTAACGCTAAGAAACTTTTTCTTATAATATTCTTATATCAACTTGTCTAATAATTTCATCTACGTTAAACGCGAAAACTTTTTTTCTTAAGTTATAATAGAAGAATAAACTCTTAAGACATTTTCGTCCATATATTGTGTTTCGTTATTATTATTTCTTCGTTACCTTTTATCGTGTTCTTTTTTTTATCTTTGCATTTGATGCAAGACCATCTGCCTCTAGGAGCTCTCGACAATGGCGGTTCTACGCATTCTAAGTGAAAACGATTTGGACATGTGTCACAAGCAATCAATTTTCCACCATTTTTACAAGATGCACATAAGTTTTCTAATCGTATATTTCTAAAACGACAAAAGAAAACAAATAAATTGTTATTAGAAATATTAAGCTAATGTAAAATTTTAATGCTACGGAAAGATAACTTACATGTCTTTTTCGCTTTCGTCATCTTCATCGTCACCCTCTTGGTCACCCTCGTCGTCACTATACGGTATGCGCTTTGCGCGATTTTGTCGCGTCTCTTTGGTTAACATCGTCTCTTCTTCGATCTCATCCTCGAATCTTTTCCGCTTTTGAGTCTTTTCTTTGGGTTTTATCTCCGGTGGTCTGCATGCTGTACAAAACCAATCTCCCGCTGGTACAGCCTGTATGTAAGAAATAACAAGGAAATAATGATGATAGTTCAGTCAATTATTGTGGAAGCATTAATATAATGAACTATTTATTACAGTAAGTTTTGGTTTCAGACAATAGAGATGGTGTCCCCTATTACACCCATCGCAAAGCAACATGTTCTCCGCATCCCTACGCCTTCGACATATACGACACTGAGCGTTTAACGCGCTTCTATCCCACGCGACGCTATTGTGCAAAGTACTTAAGTGAACGAACAACTGTGACCAGTTCGTAGATGCTATCAATGATTGTTCCCATCTCTCTCGTGCCTCCTCGCCCGACCATTTTTTGTCCTTTTGATCGGGCCCTAGTGGTCTCTGTAAGTACCTCTGTTCTATAGCGTGAGATAATTGCAAAATGGAACAAGCTAATTGTTTGATAGTCGCCTGTTGCCTTTGATCGAGCATCATTTCATCGTCACCAGGTAAACCTAAATACATTCCTGGATCCTTATAAGTCTTTATGCTAATACTTCCAACCTCGGAATCGGGGGTACCGGGTCTACTATGTTTAGACTCGTTCTTTATCTTGTCTAAAAGAGCATTAGGTGGTGCATCTATATCTATCTCACTACCAGCACACATTAATTTGTCACACTGTTTGTCATAACTTCTCTTATTGATCGCATCTCTCCAGACAATACGATCAATAATTTTAAGGCATCCTAGACAACCTGCATTAATTTTGTCTTCAAAGTCCAAAATATGATCTCTCAAAGTTAATTCCATTACGTCGTCGATAGGCATATCAGAAGGGAAGTTTAAGTTTGCGTTTTCATATTTATTTTTCTTAACTGCTTTACTGACTTGTCCTTTATTGGAATCTGAAAACTACGTACAACATCCAATTACTTTCCGTACTTTAATCATATACATAATTTTATATATACATATATATAATATATGTAGATAACATACTTTAATAAACTATACAAAAATGAACTTACAACTTCAGGATTTAGTCTATGTTTAGGACATTCATCAATAACGAGTAGCAAATTATCCATTTCTTGTAAAAGATTATTTCTAAGTTCACTCTCCCTGACACCTCTTGTACTTAAACTATCTATTAGTGCTTGAATGTCCTTTTGATTTCCGTAAAAGCTCCATTTTATTGGTGATCTTTTGCAATGAACAGGACAATCTTTATCTCCTGTACATAGTACCAAATTTCTTTTAATGTTGGTGAGATCTTGTTTAAATTCCTTTCGAGGACTTGATTCTTTCCGTGGCGATTTAACACCATTTTTATCCATGGATAGAAGTTTCTTGGGTGATTTCTTTAATTTTTTGAAACTATTTTCTTTGTCACTAAACTCATCCTCAAATTTATTTTTTAAATATGCATAGGTTGCTTCCTTGTCTTGCAACTCTGGATGATGTGGAGTACCTTCAGCAAGACAATTTCCAGGCCAACGTTCATCATTTTCCACAAATAATCCTATAATTAAAAAATCGAAAAAAATTAATTAAAATAATTTTCATATAAAAAGTGTTATAAATTTTTATCAAAAATTCTATACATGTAGAAGCTATGTGTTTCGTGAACATTGCAATTCACTTCACCGGGGCGAGAAGCCAGATACATAGCAATCTGATAGCAGTATCAGACGACTCCTTACCTTGATGAAGTAAATTGCAACGTTCACAAAACGTTAGTATTCCAAGAATGAATATATCCTAAAAAATTCTATACATAGTACAGTAACAATTAAATTACTAATAAAAAATTTAATTATTTTTTAAGTTAATTTTTTAAGTTATTATACTGCACTGTATTTTATATCATATTTTCATAATTATAATGATTATTAAAACATAATAAAATAAATGCAATATTAAAAGAAAAAATAATACAAAATAAATGTTAATGTTTTTCAAATTCATAAAATTTTTAAATTCAAAGTAATACATATTTAATTACATGTAAGGTTAATAAGAAAATAAAATATTAAGTCTTTTTTCTCAGTTTTGGGTATTTAATATTTGATAGATTACAAAAATGTAAAATGTACCTGGTATAGATATAAATCTCCAATATCTTCGATGAGCTCTATCTGCACCCAAATAAATCATCATCTTGTCATCTCTTGACGCTTGTTGCAATTCCTTTAGTTTATTTTCATATTCTTCTTTTTTCTTTTCTTCCTCGTAATTACCACGGGTGATCTTTTTCGGTTTCGGTTCTTCTTCCTCAAGTTTTCCTTCCTTCTCGCGTTCTCGCATTTTTTCTTTCTCTTCCTTCTCTTTTTTCTGTTCAGCAAGCAAGAACAACTTTAATTCTCTTCTTGCTTGATGCAATTTATCGTATCTCTCCTCAATTACATCGCGTATTGATGCGAACGTAAGCAACTGATTGATCAAACATATGACGACCTTTATTTTGTCGTCTAACTCAAGCTCGCAGACATTTCGATGACCTAACAATCGCAAAAGATAGCCTTCATGTAGCCTCAAAAGGAGAGCTGGTTCATCAAAATTTGTATAACCACCTATAACAAATAGTGTTTTTATAGAAAGTATATTAAGTAATATCAAATGATAAATTATACATACCTTTTTGAGAATATCGCCATTTTGAAGCGGCTTCGCTTATACGTCCTCCAGAGCTTAATAAATGTTGTCTCAAAATCTCACTCAGAGTTACATGATCCAATGTGAGCTCTGATAATTTACATCCTTGATAAGTGGGGCACCATCTAGAAGCCATTGTAGCGAGTTTAATGGCTTTTGCCATCGATGATGCATCTTCATAAGCATTAATGTCATCCAATAAAGTAGATGCTTGCGCATCAATCTCATTATCTTCTCCAGCTTGGTATTTAAATATATTTGACAATAACAGTTGCAAAAGATCGCTCCAAGGACCAGATGCTTCTTTGGTCAATAACGCCTTCTCTAATAATTCCAAATTAAAACCTCCCGAAAAATATACAGGCACCTCTAATTCTTCATTAAAAAATTCAAGAAATTCCGATATCATAACAAAATCTCCAAACTTCTCGTTTGGTATGTTGCACTTAATAACAATAGGTTCAGGAATGGGGCTAAGATCTTCACACTCAAGGTCTTCTCTTGGTTTGTTCCATCGTTTCATATATGCAGCTAAAGCCGCTAACTTTTGTTTTCTCTCTTTTTTATGCTCGCTTTTTAGCGCTCTTTCTTCTTTACGTTTCGCTTTCTCTTCCAAGGCTTTTGCTTTAAGTTCTTCTTTGAATTTACCATTCATTCTATTAATAAAAATATTTCAGAGATATTAAAAAAATATATTAAATAGAAGACTTTTAATAAAACCTTAACAAACAGCTTTTACCTTGGCTTCCGATATTTTTTCACACTAGTATCATTCATTTTTTTCAGAGGATCCACTTTCTCCATTTTTGATTTCGATACATTCGAGGTAAGAAATTTATCTATAGATTCTTGTTTTTGCTTAACGGATTTCTTTATACGTACTGTAAAATCTGGGAGTGTTCCAGCAAATATGGTATCAAAACGTACTTTGCCAATTCCGTATTTTTCCAAAACGCTTTCCTATGTAACAATATAACAAAAAGTAACAAAAAGTAATATTAAAAGAGCACACAAATATCTCTCTCCTCTTCAGATGTTTATAATTTTATATTAACAATTCTATATTAACCTTGACGATCCATATACCACTATCATTTTGTTCAGAGAGTTGACGAAGAAATATCTTATTACGATCTCTACTGTAATGTTGTTTTCGTCTTCTGACCTGAGATGCTTCTACTATCATAATCTGACTGATGTCAGAATCTCCAGAATCTAATTGTTCTACTTCATAGCGAAATAACTTCGCTGGTGGATGATAATAATGTTCTTGTAGACTTATGAAATAACAGCACAGAATAAAATAGACAACATTTAATTTAAAAAATTAATAAAATAGTTTAACAGAATTGAATTAAATTATTTACCTGCCATTTTCATTCATATATGCCTTAACTTGTTGTTCTGTAGGTACGATAACTTGAAGAATGTGACAATTACACCAAGCATCTTCAGTAAAGCTAGCCTCTACCATCTCTCCTACAAAATAGCGATCTCTCGCAAACTGGTAAACGTCTTCAATCATCTCGTTGAAAGAAGACCTATTTGTTTTACTAGCAAGGTATAGTATAGGGATTCTCAGCTAAAAAAAATTATCGTTTTACAAGAATATACATGTTAATACAATATAGTTATATAAAATTATACTATACCTCCATTGGAAATTCTTTCAAGCTCTTCTTTGCATTTTCTTCGCATTGTAAAGCTTCTTCAAATGTCATATTAGTTTTACCTGTGATGCTACACGACCATATAAGGGAGTTGCACAAGATAATTCGCTCGCAAAATTCACTGTAATAAAAAATATATGTTTATTGCAATACAACTTATATACACGCGCATGTGTGTGTATATACATTAGATCTTCTTTATATTAAATTTTTGTAATTTTTTAATCATTACAAAATGTCATCTAACAAATATAATAAACACAAAAATAATGTGGATCACATGATAAGTTATTTAAAATTGGCACAACACGGAACATGTTAATAAAACCGGCAGATTGCTTATATAGAATTTATAAACAGTCTTATTATATACCTAAGACAATTATATAGAAATTATATTATATTTAAATGTGTATGTAATCATGATAACTAATATGGCATAAAAATGCATTTAATTAATAAATTAGCAGTGTAAAAAACATGTTACTTGATTACAAATTTAATGATATCTAAGATAATAGATACTTTTTAACAAGAAACAATAATTCTCTCTCTCTCATTTTTATTTATTATGTATAGTACGATATTAATTCGAATGATATAAATATAATTCTTAACATCAGTCAAAATTATTTCCACTCGATTGGATAGGAAATACCAGCAAATTAAAAAAATGTTTACAATAAAATGTTATAATACTAAATGATGTTCTCAAAACTAAAACATAAAAAAAACATTGATGAAACTGTCGACATAATGCAACGACTGTAAATGCATAAGAAGCAGATGTTAAAAATTCTTCGATTCTGTTCATCATTAATTCAGTCACATTTTCTCATTTTTTTATTGTTTCAATATTTAAGTATTATTGCAGTTTCAAAAGAAAAAAGAGAAGAAAATTTAATGCAAAATCAAATATGATTTTTGAATATAATCCTGGAAACTTTGATCAAATTCTGATTAACATAATTAAAACTTATCAAGTAATTTTATTAATACTAGTAATACCAAACAACCAGTTATGTAATATTATATTTTTTGTAAAAGAATTCTAAAATGTTTGACTTTTCAATAATTGTATTCTTTATATTGATGTAATATTTGGTTTTCCATCACTTTATTTTTATAGTAATTTATTCGCTTGATCTTTTTACTGAGTAAGGCTGGAATCAGACTACGCATTGAAGATTGAGATTAAAGATTGAAAAATTCAAATTTGACCAATCGAAACGAAAGGAGTTAAAATTTCTTTGTCCTTATTAGTCAAATTTCAATCTTCAATCTCCAACCTTAATCTTCAATGAGTAGTCTGATTCCGACCTAAGAAACGTTGATACTTCGTGTTAACATGGATAGAATTATCAATCTTTTTTGTTGTCTGGCCCATGAGCAGAAAGATTAACAAAAGTTGTAAATTACACTATAAAAAAGATTAATATTTAACAATATTACAATCTTGTGAATCATATGAAGTCTGAAATGAAATAGATTTGCATGCTAGATCTATCATAGCAAAGTGACTGACATCTGTATAAAAATTGAAGAAAGGAGGATAGACGCCTGAAAAAAATGTATGAGATGAACAGCGAAATATCAGGTATCTGCATAAAAGCATAGATCAGGGATGATGAATCATAGATAGGAATTTTTTTTATAATTCTATCAATCTAGTTAATGATTGATTAAATTAATCCTTATATCCATTTCAATGTAGATTAATTTTAATTTTAAGTTGTTTTTTATCTTCGTCCATTTCTAAGAATTGGAAAAAGAATTAAATCGAGATTTCAGTTAATCCACATTAGAAGAGAAATGGATGTGTCTATTTTTACTAATATAGATTAACTTTAATCTTATATAGTATTTAACTTTTTTTCATTTCTCATATCTCTTTCTAGTTCTAATGTCCATTTCTAATTCTTAAAACTAGAAAGATAAAAAGTAAGTCAAATAGAAGATTAAAGCTAATCTACATAGATAAAAATGGATATTATTCATGTGGATACGAGAATGGACTTTCGATGCCCTAAAAATTTTGTTCCAAGCAGGTCTCGAGACAGGTGCTTCAGTCTAACCTTACAGCAAGATTACATCATATCTTTATGCAATCCAGCTGAAACGGATAATTGACGCATTATTTACGCGATAACGCGAAGCAATCCTGCTCACGGCCCACAATAAACAATCGATCGCGCTTTAATGTAGAAATTTATCAGCTATCCGTGATCGTCCCACGTCAATGTGAAACGCCGTCAACACGGCGAAACGTGGGCGACAATCTCGGATGAGATCTAAGCTCCGAAATCAAGTATTCGGCGGTCGGACTAAAATATCTCCGCCGCTGTACTTTTGTATCCGCATCCTCTGCGAGATACTCACTTGTAGTTTTTGAATATCTCGTTCGTAACCTCGCAGTGGTACACCTCGTCGTCGTCCCTAAAGTCCGAGGAGACGTGAAGCCGCTGAAACGGCTGTTTGCGTAGCAGCGGCATTTCGACAATGACGATGACCGCGACAATTCTCTCCTCCTCCTCTTTCTTCTTCTTTCTTCTCCTCTTCTTCCACCGTTTTCTCGACGCGCCGAGAAGATTAGAGAAGATCGGTATCGACGGTGTCGTGAACGCACAGACTTACGCTCTCTTCTTCTCTTTCTTTCTCGCTCTCTCACGAACGACGCACGCCAAGCGATACGGGATGGTGGACGTATGTGTGACTCGTACCAGCACCGGGATCCCGACGTCAAGCCGAAAGCCTCGTCGATGCCGATCGGCGACCCAGTATCGCAACCAAGCAACGAATCTCCCGGCACGTCGTGGAAATCTCATAACAAAAGTAACACAATGGGCAAGTCTGCCCGACGGCGCCTGACCGCCGTCCAGTTCAGACACACAGTTCAACGGCGTTCAGGGTACTCCGCACACCTGGCCTGTCCTTACTATACCGCCGGAAGCCAACGGCAAGAAACACGCCGAACGTCGTTGCCAACTTGACGTTTCGCGCGCGGATCAGCACTTGGTGGAAAGAGGTGGTAAGAGGAGAAGAAAAAGCAGGTGATTCCCGCCTTTTTACGTTCGATTCGTAAGCTCGATTAGCGAGCCAATCCGGTCCGCGGGAAGATAAATATGTTTTATCGATGAAAGATGATCCTTTTCCCGCGCATATAAACAAGATAATCTACGCCAATAGGTGCGTTCCGTATCTTGCATGATGCGCATGATGCATCCATTGTCCTTGTTTAACATTTGGTGAGCAACAAGGATAAACGATGCATTATGCACATCATGCGAGAAACGGAACGCACTCGATGTCAGTCTCTCTGGTGATACACAACCTTTTTTAAAGTGATCAAGGGTCATTTTTATGTATAATGTCTGTTCAGTAGCGTATATATAAATATACGCACGCATATTATATGTGTGTGCATATTTTATATTAAACGTGTACACACACACAAAATAAATAAATTTTATTTATATCCGTTTCCACCAATATAGATTAACTTTAATCTCGGTTCAACTTACTCTTCATCTTTTTTTAATTTTTAGAACTAGAAAAAAATGAAGGGTAAGTTGAATCGAGATTAAAGTTGATTTACATTGTGATGGAAATGAATATTAATTTATGTAACTTACTTATAAAACTTATTGTATATATTATTATTATATGTACATAAAATAAATCGATAAAAATGATTTATATCTTAATATAATAAAATAAATTATAAATGTATATTACACCTATATCCCTAATAGCACACTTTATTCGAGGGACGTTCTGGCGAACGTTCTTAGAACATAGAATATATCCTCTAAATGTTCTTTGGAACATTTCTTGATCTTCCCTTGGAGATCTGTGCTATTAGGGATATTTGTATAATTTCATTATTGAAATTAAGATAAAATTTTGTTATCTGTCTAACAGAGCTTCCTGCCCCTTATTTCATCAACCTACGCGCAGCCTAAATGCCGATCGGCAGATACCAAGCTGAAAATCGGCCAAAATGTGCAACTAAATCCCAGCTCACTCTAATTTATTCTAAATTATTCATTTTGATGATCGTTTTTACACAGTGTATACTTTATGTAAAAATAACTATGTGGAATGAATTTTAAATTTTATCTCATCAATAAGAAAATAAAAAATACAATTTATAAAAGTCAAATAATATTTTAAAAGTATGTCCAATTAGCTTCATTGGCTGATTAAATTTCAGAACTACAAAACTGAAAACATTCCAATTTTCTGTAAATTATGAGATTTATTTATGTAAAATATAATGCTTTAAATTAATAATTAGGTAATACTTTCAATTAAAATAATTGATTTTATGTATTTTATTATACGTAAGCAACAATAACAATATAAATATATATGTATTACATTATCCTTCGCAGCCATCAGATCCAGTTTGAGGCTGCGCTCAAAGGAACAGGAAACGTATACGAACAACTAGAGAAATACTTATAATACAGTTAATAATATACTTATAATATACTTGTTTTCTTCAAATTGCTCTTCCGTCAGATATGTGATAGATATGTGATTCTGGAATGTAAGTATTAGTGATATCACTAATAGGCCTGTTCTTTTTGGCTGAACTTTTGCACCAGTTCATCTTTCTTTTTTTTCTCTCCAGGAGGAAAGAAGAGGAAGAAAGACAAATTGGTGCAAAAGTTCAGCTAAACAGAACAAGTCTTAGGCTGGAATCAGACTATGCATTGAAGATTGAGGTTGAAGATTGAAGATTATAACTCGGTCTCACCTAGGCCCAGTTCCACAACTCACGGTTAAAGATAAATTTTCACGAGCTGCTTAAACAAGCTGTTTCAGCGACAAAAAGGATCACGTGGTTAAAATTGACGAATATCAAGCGTCGTTTAAGCTCGTGAAAATTTACCTTAATTCTTAACCAGGGTTCAACTTATTCATTGTCTCTTTCCAATTCTAGAATTGAAAAGAGATGAGAAACAAGTTGAACCTCGGTTAAGAGTTAACCGTGAGTTGTGGAACTGGGCCCAACTCCGATTAAACTAATCGGCCGATTAAATCTTGCCAACTGCAAAACCTGAAAACATCCTTTTTCTGACGGGGCGCCGAGTACTCACGTGCTTTTTCGAATTTGAGAAATTTGTCATTAATATGACCTTCTATGCTGTTATTATCACATCGTTCTTCACAATTGCCAGAAAATTAAGTTATGTTTTCAGTCTTGCAATTGGCAATACTGAAATTTAATCGATCGATTAACTTAATCGGAGTTGGTGAGACCGGGCCTATTGCTGGATTCACACTGCATCCGATTTTCGTCGTACGACG